AAGGTGTTGGTTCAGCTCAGCACGAGCTCACAGTGTAGTTGGGGAAGCTGTTTAAGGACAATTTCACACAATCATGAACAGCAGTAAGCAAGAGGTTCTGTCTTGACCCAGCCTTCTAAGAATGACTGGATGAGACAGAGAAAGAAGTAAGGATGTACCCAATAAAAAGGGATAGAGGTGAGACAAGCTGAGACAATTAGCTGAAAGTCATACAAAGGAATCTAACTCTGTGTAGCCTTGGCCAAGTCATTCTCTTATCTGGGCATCATAAAATAAAGGGATTAAATGAAAGCTGTGGTTCTCAAGCCCATCTGTCCATTAGAACCTCCTGGGGAACTTTCACAGGCATCTAGCTAGAATTGCGCCCTCGGAGACCCTAATTAACTGATTTAGAGTAGGTGACCCAGGCATTGATATTTTAAAAACTCCCTAGGTGATTTAAAAGTGTAACTGAGGTTAAAAACCATGAGACAGATGGTCTTTAAGGGCCATTTCTGCTTGGATAGGCACTTTTTCCAAGCCTCAGGCAGCAATCTCAGAAAGGATAGCACGAGTGAGTCAATAGTGAAGGAGACCTTGACTTGTGATTATAACAAGCTTGTCAGACCAGAGCTGCTAATCACACACCAGAGAGATACCAGGACCCATGGAGTTATCCATATTCAACCACAAGAGAAGAGCTGTGCCTGAGAAGGGGCCTGCAAGATTCATCTCTTAACACACCCAGGAAAGGGGTAGATGGCACAGCTAGGAACTGGGAGGAAGACAGGCCCAGAGTTGGAACCACCTCCCAATTAGTGCATTGGGCCAGCATCCCTGACACTTGTAGTGGGACATAATGGATTGAGAGAGTGACAGCATGCTGGATGCCTTTGCACAAGGTGAGCTTCCCATAAAGACAGTTAACTAGCATGGATGAGAAAACTTGGGCATGACAGCATGAGGAGCATAGTGAAACTAGTGAAAATTATGAAAAACAAACAAACAAACAAACAAACAAACATTTAAAGTCTCTGGAAATGGTCCTAAAGGCAAACAAAACAAGAACAAAGGTACATCTTTTAAACACACCCAAGAAAACTGCATCTGTCCAACAGAAAACAAAAAAGGAGACTAAAAATAAATAAGCAGTACACATAAATACATTTCATTCCTATATGATAACAATGAACATGTCCAAATCAAAACTAAAAACACAATACTACTTACAACCACCCCAAAGAAAATGAAGTACTTAGGGGAGCCTGGGTGGCTCAGTGGGTTAAAGCCTCTGTCTTCGGCTCAGGTCATGATCCCAGGGTCCTGGGATCAAGCCCCACATTGGGCTCTCTGCTTGTCAGGGAGCTTGCTTCCCTTTCTCTCTCTTTGCTTGCCTCTCTGCCTACTTGTGATTTCTGTCTGTCAAATAAACAAATAAAATCTTTAAAAAGGAAAGAAAATGAAGTACTTAGATATAAATTAAACACACAACTATGAGCATCTGATTTTTGACAAAGCTGCAAAAGTAATTCAATGGAGGAAGGAGAGACTTCTCAACACATGAAGCTGGTACCGTAGACCATCTGTAGGCCAAAGAATGAAACCCAATCTAAGTCTCACACCTTATACAAAAAGTAAATCAAAACAAACATAAACTATAAAATGAGACAAGAAGAAAGTATAGTTAATGGAAACTATGGAATAAGTTAGAAATAATGATAAATATAATTAGGTTAAACTTACCAATTAAAAGAGAGAACTCACATGGACCAGATGGACTTAACAGATATATTCAGAACATTTCATCCTAAAGCAGCAGAATAAACATTTTTTCAAGTGCACGCAGAACATTCTCCAGAATAGATCATATACTGGGTCATGAATCTGCCTTCAACAATACAAAAAGACAGAGATCATACTATGCATATTTTCAGACCACAGGATTATAAAATTTGAAGTCATCCACAAGAAAAAATTTGGAAAGACCACAAATACACAGAGGTTAAAGAACATCCTACTAAAGAATGAATGGCTCAACCAGCAAATTAAAGAAGAAATTTTTAAAAAATGTATGGAAGCAGATGAAAATGAAAATATGACATCCAAAACTTTTGAGATGTAGCAAGGATAGTCCTAAGAGAGAAGTATATTGCAAAATAGGCCTAACTCAAGAAGCAAAAAAACTCTCAAATATACAACTTAATATTACACCTACAGGAGCTGGAAAAGAAACAGCAAGTATAGACTAAAGCCAGCTGAAGAGGGGAAATAATAAAGATTAGAACAGAAATAAATTATACAGAAACAAACAAACAAAAATCCGGAACAGATCAACAAAACCAGGAGTTGGTTCTTTGAAAGAATTAATAAAATTGACAAACCTCTAGCCAGACTTATAAAAAGAAAAGAGAAGGGACCCAAATAAATAAAATCACAAATGAAAGAGGACAGATCACAACCAACACCACAAAAATACAAACAATTATAAGAGAATATTATGAAAAATTATAGCCATTGATCAATCTGGAAGAAATGGACAAATTCCTAGAATTACCAAATTAACAAATCTGAAATAGGAAGATATAAAAATTTTAACAGACCCATAACCAGCAAAGAAATTGAATCAGCAATCAAAAAACTCCCAGAAAACAAAAGTGCATGGCCAGGTGGCTTCCCAGGACCAAACATTTAAAGAGTTAATACCCATTCTTGAACTGTTAAAAAAAAAAAAATGAAAATGGATGGAAAACTTCCAGTCTCCTTCTACAAGCCCTTGATTCCAAAATCAGACAAAGACTCCGCTGAAAAGGAGAATTACAGGCCAACATTAACAATGAACAGGGATGCGAAAATTTTCAACAAGAGACTAGCAAATTGAATCCAACAGTACATTAAAAGAATTATTCACCACAATCAAGTGGGATTTTTCTTGGCTGTAGGTGTGGTTCAATATTCACAATTCAATCGTGATACACCCCATTACTACAAGAAAGGATAAGAACTATATAATCCTCTCAATAGATGCCAAAACATCATTTGACAATATACAGCACCCATTCTTGATAGAAACCTTCAACAGAGCAGGGATAGATGGAACATACCTCAACATCATGCAGGCCACATATGAAAGAACCACAACTAATATCATCTTCAATGGGGAAAAACTGATGGCCACTCTCACCATTACTTTTTAACCATTATTGGAAGTCTTAGCCTCAGCAATCAAACAACAAAAAGAAACAAAAGACATCCAAATCAGCAAGGAAGAAGTCAAACTCTCACTATTTACAGACAACATGTTGCTCCGTGTAGAAAACCAACAAACTTCACCAAAAAATTGCTAGAACTAATACATGAATTCAGCAAAGTCACAGGATATAAAATAAATGCACACAAATCTGTTGCATTTTAATTATGGATCAGCAGAAAGAGAAATCAAGGAATTGGTCTCATTTACCATTATACCAAGAACCAGAAGATACCTAGGAATAAACCTAACCAAAGATGTAAAAGATGTGAACTCTGAAAACTAGAGAACACTTATGAAAGACATTGAAGAGGACACAAAGAAATGGAAAAGCTTGGATTGGAAGAACAAACATTGTTAAGATGTCTATACTTCCCCAAATAATCTACACATTTAATGCAATCTTTATCAAAATACTACCAGCATTTTTCACAGTGCTAGAACAAATAATCCTAAAATTTGTATGGAACCACAAAAGACTCTGAATAGCCAAAGCACTTCTGAAAAAGAAAAGCTGGAGGCATCACAATTCTGGACTTAAAGCTTTATTACAAAGCTGCAGTCATCAAGACAGTATGGTACTGTCACAAAAACAGACGCATAGATCAATGGAACA